GGGGGGGGGGGGGGGGGGTTCAGGGGAGGGACCTCAGCCATCCATCTCTAGACTGCTGCAATCTGACATTCAAGGAAGAACCCCAGGGTACTGTCCAAATATACCTTTATTCTGTGACTGCCTGAGGACTTGTAAATATAGAGTTGGGGGGAGGGGAGGGGTTATTTTGTATGCCTCTCCTGTATTCTTCTTATTTGCTATCACTGTATCAAAAAAATTGCCTATTATTGAATGGAAGATGTCATGGTCAGTTTGAGGGCTTGGGTTTGCCTGGAACAAAGTATCTGTCATGTATGCCCCTGCTGGCTCGGGGGACATGGCTGCACCAGCAGTGGTGAGTGGGGAGCTCCCACAGTTGCCACTGGCACCGTTGGCAGCGGGGGCAAGCACCGACCATGGGTTGGCAACCACCCGCAAGCACCACCGGCAGCACTGGCGGAGGCCAGGGGCAATCATGGACTGCCCACAGAAGCTGCCAACAGTGTTGGCAGTGTCTATCTGCAGGGGGTGCACCGCCATGCGCAGAGGGTGCATGTGCACCCGCATGCACCCCCTACATGTCACCAGTGCCAACACAGTGTAGGGGGATCCCAGGGCAGAAGAGAGACTGGCACAAGTATCTGTTGCCCAAGACTAGAAAACAGAAAGGACTACAGAATAGGATTGAAGGGCACTGACAGCTGTGTGGAGAGCCCAGGACTAGGATAGAAGGGATGTTGTAAGACAGGACCGAAGGATATGAGCAATGGGAGTATGACATGGCTTTGTGGAGTGAATGTTAGGGTCTGCTGAGGCACAGGGGTATATTGGCAGAACTAGGAGCAAACTGCATTTGGGGAAAGCTTGTGCCTGCTATTCATATCCACCATTATAAGCTTCCAGTGTATATGCATCAATAAAAATGAAAACATGGTTATATTTTCAAAAGAAAGTAATGGCAGGGGGGGGGGGGGGGGGGGGGAGGAAGTCATTTGGCTGTGTTGGTGTTGTCACATTTTTTTTATTATAAGTTCTCTTAGGCCAAGTGGAGGCCTCCTTATAGTTACAGAACCAGAGGATGAAAACATCTACTACACACCTGTCTTTACCTTGGGAGAACAGAGAAGAAAAAAATAGCTAGAGGGAAGTGAGAAGGGGAGCAGCACAGCCCCCATGCTGAGGAGGTCTGGTCACATTGCAGGTGGGATGTCCTGTGGGGCTGGAAAGGAGTGTAGGTGAGCTCCTCTTATCCATTGCACTGGTTAGTAGCACAGCAAAAAGCCTTTATTGCAGATCCACCTAAGAGTCTTAGGACTTCACATTCATACTGGGTGGCGCATCGCTTGCCATATTTAGCTGAGAGAGACCAGAAGAGAGAATTAGAGACACAGGGTGGGCATAGTTCTTGGGAATCAGATTGGGCATATTCTGAGCAAGGTTACTGCTTTGGGAAAAAGACAGAGGAAGGAGGAGAGGGCAGAGGGATCCTCCAGTAGGTGGTGAGAAAAGAGTTAAAAAATGTATGGGGTGGGGAATAACTCATTCCACTCCTCCTCTATTCCTTCCTGTTCTCTCCAGGTCTCTAGCCTGTCACTCATCCCTTCTGTTCATTCCCTGTTCATCCTTCTCTCTTCCTTTTTATGCTTTTTCCACCTTTCCCCTTCTCCAGCTTTCCAGTTTCTCCCCACCTATCTTTTTCTCTACTTTGCTTCTTCCTTATTCATTTCTTTCACATCTCCCCTTCTTGGTTTTCCTCAACCTTATTTCTTTAGTTCTTGTTTTCCATTCCTTCCTCTAGCCATTACTGTACTTCCCTGATAGCACTTCTTCCAAGAACACTGGATAGGGCTGGTGGACACTCAGTGGTCTCTCACTTCAGGCTCCCACCCCACTCTTCCCTCAGAATTGGGGAGATCTGTCAGAATCCACGTCCTAAATGACAAATTCCTGCTTTTCACAGGGGTTGCAATGCAGCCCTAGGTTTTACTCATCAAAGGTGGTTGCAACCCCAACCCAGATGCTATCTTACTTACCCTCAAAGGGAAAGAATATTGTAATGCAACGATCCTGGTTATCCGTGCATGTCTGAGTGCTGAAACAGCTTCCTCCGTAAGGGCAGTAATAACACTCAAGTGATACAACAGCTAAAGAACAAGGGAGGCAAAACTCAGAGCTAGTAGGATGAAGGGCAAGGGTTAAAGTGCCTACCTCTACCCAGTAGGCACTAAGTGCAAGGCCTACCTGCCCCTTCTTTTTTGTGGGTTGGAGCATAGACAGGGAGGGAAGCCAATACAATTGACTGCTTTTACATTAGAACACGAGACTTTGGAGAGTTGGTTTGCATTTCTTGTTGTCACAGTTTTCCTGTTTGATTTTGGGTGAATCCCTTGGCCTCTCTGCTCCTTGGCTCCCCATCCATAATATGGAGATCACGTCACTACTCTTCCTTACAGACGTGCTCAGGAGAGAAAATCGAGGAGGGTTGTGAAGTGCTCAGAGGCTATGGTGGGGAATGGGGGGGTGGGCTATGAGTCATGTAGGCAGAGAAACATCTCTAGAATCAGGCGCACACAGTGGCAGGGAGAAGATTGGATCAGACCTTGTCTAGTTGATTCCTTTCTGAGGCATCATACAGAACAAAGGGACACCCAGAAAACTGGCAGGGTTGGTGGAGAGCAGCAGAGGGTTGGTCAGTATGAAACCTCACCTTGTGCCAGCAACACTATGGCAAGAACCCCCAGCATGAGCCTCTTCATCTCGCCTGGAAGTGCCTTTAACTGATGTCTGGGGAGGAGAGCAAGCAAGCAGTGAGGAAGTAATGCAAACAGGTACAGCACCTAAATAAATTGGAAACTAAGGCTAAGTCTGAATGTCTTGGGGCAGGGTGATGAAGGTCCGTATCTACAGGACTCTAGCTTCACCACTCCGTTACCTTTGTCCATTTCAAATCAAGGAAAATATTGGAAAAACTAGCAGGAATTCAGAGATGGTCAAGAGGGCTCAGGGAGACTGACCTTTGAGAAAAAACCCAACAAACGAAATATACACATTTGTGGGAAATAATGACAAAAGGTGAATGGGGAACATGGTTACAGTTTTTAGATACATGATGGTGTACAATTCCAGACAGATTAAGGAGGAAAAAGGGAAGGTGAGGAGAACTTTCTACAGGATATTGCTTTTTAAATTTTTTTTTTAGTTAGTATCTGCCCCATGCTTTTGTGATGGCATTTCTACAACCAGTTAAACAAAAAATGAATTTTGCTACTAATTTTTTTGCGGGGGAGGGTTAGCTTACTAAGGGTATAAGCATTTATATTATCGAACAGAGCTCATACCAAGGGCCATGTTCCATTTCAATTATTAGGTTTCTGAGCAGAATTCTACTTCACCAAGACTACAATCAAAATGCAGCTTGACGCCAACTCTGAGTTTCCTGACAAAAGAGTAGGAGTGATTCTTTTACCTGCTCAAAGTGCATTTATGGAATAGGGAGACTTCTGTGAATCTCCAGGAATTAGTTTCATTCCTATATCAGAGGCTCTTGCATGCCTAGAGAAGGTAAGAGAATCCTACAGTTGGGTAGTATGACTGGGTGAAATTTTGCCAGCTGTTTCGATTTGACTCATTTCAAGCTTGAAACAGCAAAATCAAATCGAAACAAAGGGCTTCGAAACAGCCTCGAAACAAAACAAGGCTAGTCAAAGCATTTTGAACATTTTGAGTTTTGAAGCAGCCAGCAGCGAGGTGGTGGGAGACACAGGAGAACCAGGGCTGGGCTGAGTTTGTTTCCTGAGCCCGGTGGTCGGCCAAAACATTGAAACAGCCTCACTGTTTTGACGAAGTGAAATGGAACAGCTGTTTCGACTCGAGGTTTGGGCCAAACTGTTTTGTTTCGAACTTCATTTCAAAACTCGAGTCGAAATGGAACAGTGCTGTTTTGCACAGCTGGATTGGGTAGCTCAAAGTTGCTTGCCAGTTGCATCTTGGTCATCTACAAGGTAAAATAAAAATCTTCCCATAGGCACCTAAATGGGCTTAAGTCCAAACTATTCCATCTCTCAGGTATGTAAGTAGATTTACATGTCTAAGAGTGATTCTATACATTAAGTCCCTGTAAAGCTTAAGGCAAATGGGGGTGGGTCCTCCCCCTCCACACTACTTTTTTTTTTTCTTTTTTTTTTTTTTAACACATTCTTAAGGGTCAGATGACACAATGGTAGATGCATTAATGGATTTCCAGGGACTCAAACAGGGTGGAATAGCATCATACTTAAGTGCCTACATGATCAATAACAGCACTGAGCCAGTGGAATTCAGCCTTGGTGATGACTAAACTGAGGTTTAGGTTAGACAGATTATATGTCCTGATCTGAATCTTGGTCTGCACATGATTGAAAGTCTGTTCTGTATTGTTGTGTTAGTCACTATAGAGGGGACACATGATTTTGAAAACAGCCCAGAGTGCTATAGGCAAGCCAAGAGCAACTGCTCACATCAGTGAGAGTTGAAGTACAGTCAGTAAGATCATTGTTGTTGATTTTATTTTTAGTAATTGCCTACCAGTAGGTATCTAGCGTCAGAAAACTGTAATTCAAATCCTTTCTTTAGTTCATTCTTGCTGTCCCCGCTTTCAATCATAATTCACCCAAATAATACTACGTATAGGAACTCTGAAGAGCATCTTCATCTCCTCAGTCTGTCCCAGAGTCCTTACTATAAAAACAGGAGTTTAAATGTAGACCCCTCTAAGTCCAGAGTGAGGCACCTCTGTAAATAAGAACAAACTTTCCAAGGTAGTGAGCAGACACAGTACTTCCTAAACTGAGTAATAGGAAACTGCAGTAGTTCATTAACTGAAAAACTGTCATCATGCATTCAGTTACCTAGCCACATGTTTTTAAAAGCTGTTTTTGTCGGTCTTAGTTCAAGTCCCTGGAATAAGAACTATATTTTCATCTACCAATACATATGGTGAAGTACAAAGCATGCTTTGGGTGCTCAGCAGCTCATAGATGTGAAATGCTTTACAGAAACATAAAAGGAAACCCCAAACTACAGTAAAATCTCACAAACGTTGACTCTCAGGGCAGGGTCTCCAACACAGTGTAGATTAAAATGACATTAATAAGGCCAGAAATTGTAAAATGGAGCTTGATTGTGTACTCTGTATTTCTATTCATGCTTTTAGTCAAAGGAAGGAGAGAAACAAGAACTTGCCTACCTTGTTTGCTGTTGAAGAAGGGCATTTGTTTCATAGCTGCTCTCTCACACTGCTGGTTTATATGCTCTCCTCAGACTTTTGTCCACTTCTTCCTGCTTCACAGACCCACCTACTTCTCTTATCTCCCTCATTTGGTACCTCTGTTTCACAATCTTTCTTTACTGAGTGGGAGAAAAGCCAGAGGCTGCCCTGAGCTCCCTCTTACATGTAAAGCATAAAATGGTCCATGTCCATTTCCCAGGATATCCTGCACTGCTTTTAGTTTTGCTGCATTTTGGGCACTTCACAGTGAAAGACAGGTGACGCCAGTGGGAGGCCAGGAGAGATGGGGAGATCAAACCAGCATAATTTCTCTTGATGTATGGCAGAACTGTCATTTTACTTACATGTCCATGCCATGTCAACATGTGTTCAGCTAGGAAGTGGCATATGAATGCCTGGCCACCAGACTCTTACTAACTCAGAATATCAGGTGCCATTGCTTTTGGAGACCCCTTGAGGCCTCCATAGTAGCCCAACTAGTCTTCTTGCAGGCTGGGGGGTGAAACTGGGAGCAGGAGATGGCTTCTTTGCATGCACATCTATAGTGTTTATAGGTTTGAAAAGGAACACTGGTGGAGGGCTGCGTAGGGACCTGGCCCAGAAACACAGAATGAGGGGACCAATCCATGTCTTCAATGACTAGCAGTGGCTTTGAAAGCCTCTTTTCTGAGGCCATGTGCTGAACTGACCTTGACCCTGATCTTGAGCATGAGGCTGATGAGCTCTTTTTAGTCTGTGGGGAAACTGATGGATGTTGGGAAGGTGGGTGAAGGAATGGGTGCCCTAAGTGAGCCAGAGTCTGATAGTGCCCATGGTAGGGTAAAATCTAAGCTCTGCAATGGCATCCCCCAGTGTGCATCTTCTCCCACCTGCCTTGTTCCCCAGTCTGTACGCTGCTGACTCATGATCACCCTGCTGAGTAGCAGCTTGGCCTTTACTTTGCTGTACTGCAATGTCAAGGTCAGCTCAGCACACCTCATCCTGGTAAGAGGCTTTCACAATCCTGAGCAGCTGAAGTAGTCACCACAGGTCATTATAGTTTCAAATAACTGGAAGAATATTTTATCTGGGAAACACCTTATGTACCATCACACATTGGCTCAGCTGTGTAGCTAGTGTTTACATTGTTAAACATTCAACTAGAAATTCCACCCAAACCAGTTTCGGTAAGAACTGTGATACCTGGCCGTTAGGGCTATGCAAAATTTCGCCAGCTGTTTCATTCCAATGCTGTTGTGACTTGTTTCGACCTCAAAATAGCAAAATTGAAACAAAAGAAAGAGCTTCAAAACAGCCTTGAAACTAAACAAGGGCAGTCAAAATGTTTCGGGTTTTGAAGCTGAAGCTGGACTTGCCTGCAGGGAAACAAAGTAAGAAGGGGGAGGGGGAAGAGGGGAAGGACTGCTCTGACACTGACTGTGTAGCTGGCCAGTGACTGTGATCCTTCCCCAAGTTCCCTTCCAAACCCAGTGCTCTAGGGCAGAGATGGAAAAACAACCTAATGCCAGGTCTCTTTCCCCAGAAGCCACTTCAGAGGAGGCTGAGGTACAGGGTGTGAAGGCAAGGGGCTCAGGTGAGTCTGCTCCTCCTGTTGCTGTGCCTCTGCCTGCTGAGTAGGGGGGAAATTGCAGTAGCTGCACATGCACCTGCACCCCAGAAGCAAGTGGGTAGTGTGCTCTGGGATCATTTTGAGCTGGCAGATGATCCCACATATGCTGTCTGCCTGCACTGCCGAGCCAAAACCAGCCAGGGCAAGGGAACAAAACACATGAGCACCACGGGAATGCTGATGCATCTCTGCAGGCATCACCCCCTTGCCCTTGCTCCTCCTCAGCCTGGCACCAGCGGGAGCATGCCCAAAGAGAAGTTCCCCTCTCACTCCAAAGCCCCCGTTCCCCCAAAACAGAGGCAGGCCACTCTGGAACAGTGGGGGAAATGTGGACAGAAAGGGGGGCACATTGCAAGGGTGAGCGAGATCACCCAGACCTTTGGGGGCATGCTTGCTGTAGATGACCAGCCCCTCTCCTTAGTGGAGTGGGCAGGGTTCAGGTGGCTCATGGCTCTCATGGTTCCATCATACCAAGTGGACCATGGTGCTCTCCCTGTATGAGACATTCAGGGAACACTTGAAGGAGGAGCTGTGCAAGGCAGGTCCACAGGTGGCCTTACATTTCACCTTGGACAGCTGGGGTGGAGATCACTCCTACTTCTCCTTCACAGGGCACTGGTGTGACCAGTCAGGACATCGGTGGGCTCTCCTTCAAGCCGAGGTGATGGATGAGTCTCGCAGCAGCAGAGATCATGGGGGCCATGAACCACTTGGTGCAGGGAAGGCTCATTGGGCAAGGTGAGCTCACCCCCTGGTTCATGGTCACTGACAATGAAGCCAATATGGTCAAGGTGGTCTGTGATGCCAACTTTGTGGCACACAAGTTCTACCTCATAGTCAGAGATACCTTGGAAGGGTATTGGGTTGCTGGTCATGGTGCCAGCACCACCAGAAAGCTCATTTCAAACTGCAGGAAGGTAGCAGGCTACTTCCACCGGAGCATCAAGGCAGGCAAGATGCTGCAGGACAAAAAAATGGAGCTGAACATCCTGCAGCACAAAATCATGCAGAATGTGGAGACTTGGTGGAACTCTGTGTACCTGATGCTTGAGAGGCTGGGGGGGCAACAGAAGGCCATCCATGAGATGGCCTTGCTCAAGGAGATTGGGATCAGTGGCCCCCTTAACAGAGCTGAGTGGGATACCATCTCCCAGATCTTGGTGGTCCTCAAGCCCTTCCTCAAGGCCACTGAGACACTTAGCGCTGGTGATGTCCTTCTTAGCCACATGATCCCTCTAGTGAGGGATCTTCAGAGCCAAATGTAGAGCTTCCAGGGAATCAGTGTTCCTGTGTGGGGCAAGCCGCTGCCACCAGACATGCAGGCACTGGTCAGGAGACTGGAGGAGGGCATCAGGAAACCGCTTGATCCCTTGCGGTCCAGTACAGTCTACGTGCTGGCTGCCATGTGTGACCCGAGGGTGAAGGGCAGTGTATGCAGCAGCCAAAGTCTAAATCAGTGGACAGAGGTGCTGGTCAATAGTCAAGGAGGCAGAAGGGTAGAGGCAGGGGGACATGGAAGAGAGGGATTTACTGTCCCCTGCTAGCACGCCATCCACCAGTCAGTTTCCTCCTCCACCACAGGCACTGCCAATGTGGGCCAAGGTCATGGCTTCCATGGTGAGGTCCACAGGCACCAGACCCCACCATCAGGCAGGTAGTGTTCAGGCCTTAGGGGCTGCCTATCTCTCAAAGGACATGGAGCCGCTGCTGTCCAACCCCTTGGCCTACTGGGCAAGCCACAGCCAGATGTGGCTGGGTCTGGCCATGGTTGCCTGGGAACGACTGTCCTGTCCACTGACCAGTGTTCCAAGTGAGAGGGGGTTCAGCATTGTTGGGGATGTTGTGACACCCCACCGCACCTGCTTTGGTGGAAGCAGCTGGTGCTCCTGAAGGTGAACCTCCCACTGCTGGGGTTCCCCAAGCTCCAGGTGCAGATGGAATAAATGCCAGCCTCCTCACTCTCTCTGCACATATTTCCTTTTTAAATTTTTAAACAATCATTTAACACCCCACTCTCAGAGCTGGAGGGGGCACTTGCTGCATCACCAGCCAGCAGGGGAAGAACATGTCCCTGCTGAGCTCTGGTGCTAGGACAAACTTGGAGGTATGGACTTGGGGCTATGGGGGAGGAGGAAGCACCAAGTCCTGGATATGACCACTAAAACTGCACTCTGCCAGGGTCAGGGAGGCCTGGTGGGACTGCTGGCAGTGCGGCAGCCCCAGGAAATGGCAGGACCAAGGATCCCCCTGGTGAAAGGTGGGTAGGAGGTGCCATAACTTCCAACTACCCCAAGCATGCACACAGTCCTGGCTGGAGAAAGCCCAGACCTGTTACGTCTTTTACAGGCCTGAGGCTTGCTGGTTGCAGTGGAGTTGTGAGGCTCCAGGTGAGCTCAGCTTAGCTGCCTGGGATGCCAACTTACAGGTTGAATAACCCTTTGTCAGGCTGAGGAAGCACCTGCAGTTTGTGTGTGTGCTATTCCTGGATGAAAAGAATAACAAAGAAGCCAGAGGCTGGCAAGCGATGCAGACAAGGAAGCCAGTCAGTGAAAATGGAAATGGAGGCGTGAGGGATAGGCTGGGTGGGGTGGGGGAGGAGGGACTCCCCAAGTACCTCTGCAGCTCAGGTAAAAGTGCAGAGGTACTTGGGGAGTCAGATGTCCAGCAGGTCGCAGTGTGCCAGAACTCCACTGTCTATGTTGAGTCCATGAGTTTCTGTGCCTAGGAGGTTGATGAAGTGCAGTTCATAGGCTTGTCTGTGAAAAGTGGTTTGTAAATTCCCTCAGGATCAGGCCTGAGAGATTGGAGACAGGTGGTGTTCTGTTGTTGTCTTTGATAGATTTTTGTTGTGCGCTCATTCTGGTGCACAGTTGTTGCTTGGTGTCTTCACGTATTTTCCATCATGGCACTTGGTGCCCTTATGGAGATATGTATTGTATTGTGAAGATATCTCCATACTGGATATATTGTTGGCAGATTTTGTGCGTCTTGTCATGGCACGGCCTGGATCCATTCAGTGTGTTTTGGGATTGTGCGGGCCGGGAGCGGTTTGAGGCCCTCAGGGGCGCGCGGCGGGGTGTGGCCAGCAGCCCTGGCATGTGGGTCGAGGAATGCAGGCCAGTGGACTAGAATTAGGCACGGACGCTTAGTGGTTGATTAAAGATTATTTTACTTACACCGTAGATGGTCGCGGTGCAGGCAGGAAAACTTGCTTGAGTTGCAGTTACAGATAGGAAAGAAGAAAAGCAGACAAGAGTTCTAAACTCGTGAACTCTAGCCCAATCCGGCTAAAGGCTCTAAAAACGCAAGCCCGTCATGTCAACTGAAGAAAACAACTCGGAAAAGAGCTCTGGATACACTCACATGAAGTTTGCTAGGCTCCGTGGAACTTGCGCGCAGGGAAGGGGTTC